ATTGGTTAATAATCTTATCAGAAATCCATCGCCAATAATTGTATTATAATTATTTATTTTGTATTATTTAATAATACTTAGGATAATGACACGTGGCGCACCGAGAACGATTAAAAATCTTATCCGATATTACATTTAAAATTATTTTGTATTAATTTTATAAATAAAAAAAATACTAATATTTTATTGCCTATTGCCAGGGCTATAGAAGTGTAACGGTGGAGATGCAAAATCTATTGCCAGGGCTACTTACTGTTCATTAAGGGCAATTACTGTTCATTAGGTGGATTGAATAGTGTATTGCCAGGGGGGAGGGCTCCAACGCTGGAGTTGCTCTAAACGCACAAGTGCTACGTTACTTCTTGTCGCCAATGAGTATTGGTCTTTCCGGTCTCTTGCCATAAACGCGCCTCGGCTAAAATACAAATCACAACGACCCTCCTCTCAGTCGTATGCCAGAGTAGACCCCCCCACCCTCTCTCTCTCTATATAGCCAATCAAAGTCAATTTTTAACTCGTTTTCGACGACTCTCTTTCTCTTGGAACCATCCCAGAAACTCTGTCATCTTTTTTTTTCCTCCATTTTTCAGTTTTCTGTTTGTGCATAAGTACCCTCCTTCTCGTCTCTGTTTTTGGGTTCAATTCAATCTGTCTCCCAAAATCTGTGTGCTTCTGAACTCAGCCTGTCAAGCTCAAAAACAAGGTGAGCTTCTTTTTAATGTTATGTACTTTGTTGGGTACTTTTGTGCTGGATGGTAGATTATGGTTACTTGAACTGATGGGGTTTTTGACCATTGAGGAAATATGAGAAATTTGGAGTTTGGAATTGAAGTTTGGTGAAAATTTGAGATAATCTCTTCTGGGGTTTTAATATTTTTTGAAATTTATAATAAGATGATTGTTTGTGTGGATATATGTCTGTTTGTTCTTAAGAAAGTTTTTATCTTTTACCATGATTGTTGTTTCTTATCTTTCATATATCTGATCTCCAGTAATTTTTCATGTCTCCAATTTTGTTTAATCGGATGGAAAACTTAAACTTTTCTCTGTGTGATTAGACAGAAGTTGACATGGTATATACTATTTCTCTGGTTGGTAAATGATGGTTATTAAGGCTAATTGGTTTAAGATCATTGAGAAAATTTATGAAGTTTGATCCAAAGGGGAGGTGGGTTTTGTATATATGCCTGTTTGTTTCTTGTGAAAGTTTTTAGCTTTTACCATGATAATTGATTCCTCAATATACCTATTTCAGATTATATACTTCCTCTATCTGGGTCTCCAGCAACTTTTTTCCCTCCAAATTTTGTGTAATCGGATGAAATATTATGTTTGCGCTGTGTGTTTTGATGGAGGTTGCTTCTCCGTTAGCTGAATAAGGGGACATGGTATATACATATCTTCCTGGATACCTTACTTTTCAATTAATTAGTTTTTTTTTTAGTAATTCCAAAGAACAGAACAAGAGATTTATGCTCTGGGGAAAGTGAAAAATAATGATTTAGGAAGATTCTAATCTCTGGAATCTTAGAAAGGTGTAGGGCTTTTTCCTGTTTGTTTCTTCTTTTCTTTTGGTTTCGGAATATCTTGGTATTACAGATCATGTACTTGATAAGAAGGTAAAGCATTGAAGATTGTTTGCGAGAATCTAACTTTTGTCGAAGACAAGGACTTGTAGATTCTCATCACCCTTCTGATTTTTTAATTGCTTTTGGAGTATCAATTTTCTGGGACATATAAAATGAGACGTATACCTCCTGATTTCCTTTAGAACAGATTTATGTTCTGTTTGGTTGCTGAAATATCTGAGGGAAAAAAGGGACTGTAATTTGTAAACGGATTTTTATAGAATTAGATTCCAGAAAACAAGTGATTAGTTGCAGTTGTACTAAGCAAATTGGGATTATCATTCGTTAATTTTATTGATCATTCAAACACCAGTATTTTTTTTAATGATTACACAGTTCCATATATACAGGTTCTTTGTGATTATCTTGCTATTAATTTCGGCATTTGAGGTGTCATCAGTAAATTTTGAGTTACATTTTTGGTTCATTCTCAGGTACTCTGATCAGTCTTACCAATTCCGTTAAACAACTAGATATATTTCTTTCAGCAGTATTACTTCGATTGTCAAAGTTCAATGAACCTCAAGTTAGGGGTGGAGGTTGTGGCTGCCCATGACCTTATGCCCAAAGATGGGCAGGGCGCTGCCAATGCATATGTGGAGCTCCGCTTTGATCATCAGAGATTCCGAACCACCATAAAAGAAAAAGATCTCAATCCCGTTTGGAACGAGAGCTTCTACTTCAACATCTCTGATCCAAACGATCTCTCTAACCTCAGTCTTGAAGCCTATATATATCATCGTGGTAAGGACAACTCCAATTCTTTCCTCGGAAAGGTTTGTCTTACTGGAACATCATTTGTTCCATATTCTGATGCTGTTGTTTTGCACTACCCTCTGGAGAAGCGAGGCCTTTTCTCACGTGTTAAAGGAGAGCTTGGTCTAAAAGTTTTTGTTACTGATGACCCGTCTATAAGATCCTCAAATCCTCTTCCCGCACTGGATTCACCTCTGGACAGAGATTCACACTCTGCACGTGTTCAATTACAATCGCAACAAGTTCCAAATGTTATCTCAAACATGATGTCCAATGACAAATCTGAGTCGAGACGTACATTTCACCACCTTCCAAACCCCAACGTAGCACAGCAGCAGAATATTCCTTCAGCAGCAATGCAGTCGGTGAACTATGGGATGCAGGAAATGAGGTCTCAACCACAGCCTCCAGTTGTTCGCAGCATGTACCCAGGTTCATCAGCTCAAGCTCCTGATTATTCCCTTAAAGAGACAAGTCCTTACCTTGGAGGGGGGCGAATTGTTGGAGGGCGAGTCATACCTGGAGACAGGCCATCCGGCACCTATGACCTTGTTGAAAAGATGGAATACCTGTTTGTACGAGTTGTGAAAGCCCGTGACCTCCCTCACATGGATATAACAGGTAGCCTTGACCCATATGTTGAAGTAAGAGTTGGGAACTACAAAGGAATTACAAGGCATTTTGAGAAAAGGCAGAACCCTGAATGGAACCAGGTATTTGCTTTTGCAAAGGATAATCTGCAATCATCTGTTTTGGACGTTGTAGTCAAAGACAAGGATCTTTTGAAAGATGACTTTGTTGGGTTTGTGCGGTTTGAGATCCATGAAGTTCCTCGTCGATTTCCACCAGACAGCCCATTGGCTCCAGAATGGTATCGGCTTGCAGCTAAGGATGGGAAGAAGGACAACGGAGAGCTGATGCTTGCTGTATGGATTGGCACACAAGCTGATGAAGCTTTTCCAGAGGCCTGGCATTCTGATGCAATTGGTCCTGATGATGGTTCTTCGGTTGCTTATGGACACATCCGTTCAAAAGTTTACCATTCACCAAGACTATGGTATGTTCGAGTAAATGTGATTGAGGCACAGGACTTGGTTCCATCTGACAGGTCCCGCTTTCCAGATGCATATGCAAAAGTACAGATCGGTAATCAGGTTTTAAAGACAAAACCAGTTCAATCTCGAGATATGAACCCAATGTGGAACGAGGACCTGATGTTTGTTGCTGCTGAACCCTTTGACGATCATCTGGTCATTTCAGTTGAAGATCGCGTAGGTGCAAGCAAAGACGAGATCCTAGGAAGGGTTGTTATACCATTGAACACTGTTGAGAGGCGTGCTGATGATCGATTAATTCGTGGCCGGTGGTATAACCTTGAAAAGCATATGTCAGATGCCATGGAGGGGGAGCAGCGGAAGAAAGATAAAGATAAGTTTTCCAGTAGAATCCATCTCCGTGTTTGCCTTGATGGAGGGTACCACGTGCTTGATGAGTCAACTCACTACAGCAGCGACCTTCGACCTACTGCTAAGCAGCTGTGGAAGTCACATATTGGTATGTTGGAGCTCGGAATTCTAAATGCTGAAGGGCTACACCCAATGAAAACAAGGGATGGGAAGGGTGTATCAGACACATATTGTGTAGCAAAGTATGGGCACAAATGGGTTCGTACTCGAACTATAAATAACAGCGTGAGCCCAAAATACAATGAGCAGTACACTTGGGAGGTTTATGATCCTGCCACGGTTCTCACTGTGGGGGTTTTTGATAACAGTCAGATTGGTAATACAAATGGCAGTGGCAGGGATGTGAAAATTGGCAAGGTCCGGATTCGAATCTCTACCCTTGAGACTGGCCGTGTCTACACACACAATTACCCATTACTAGTCCTTCATCCTTCAGGTGTAAAAAAGATGGGTGAATTGCATCTTGCAATCAGATTTTCATGCACATCATTCGTTAACATGATGTTTAAATACTCGAAACCCCTTTTGCCAAAGATGCATTATGCAAGGCCATTGAGTGTGATGCAGCAAGATATGTTACGTCATCAAGCTGTCAACATAGTGGCAGCTCGTCTTAGTCGGGCAGAACCACCTCTCAGGAAGGAAGTAGTAGAATACATGTCGGATGCAGACTCTCATCTTTGGAGCATGAGGCGCAGCAAGGCAAACTTTTTCAGACTGATGTCAGTTTTTTCAGGGTTGTTTGCTGTTGCAAAATGGTTTGGAGAAGTCTGCAAATGGAAAAACCCCATCACAACAGTACTGGTACATGTTCTGTTCGTGATGCTCGTGTGTTTCCCAGAACTGATTTTACCGACTGTGTTCCTATACATGTTTCTGATAGGGATTTGGAACTGGCGGTACCGCCCAAGGTACCCTCCTCACATGAACACAAGAATCTCATATGCAGATGCTGTGCACCCTGACGAGCTTGATGAGGAATTTGACACATTCCCAACATCACGGGGTTCAGATATAGTTCGAATGAGGTATGACCGCTTGAGGAGTGTTGCTGGAAGAATTCAAACCGTGGTGGGTGATGTTGCAACCCAAGGGGAGAGGCTTCAGGCACTTCTCAGTTGGCGCGATCCTCGTGCCACTACTTTATACATTACTTTCTGTCTCATGGCTGCTATTGTGTTATACGTGACCCCTTTTCAGGTCCTGGTTCTTCTCGGTGGCGTTTACCTCATGAGGCACCCGAGGTTCAGGGGTAAGATGCCATCAGCCCCGATTAACTTCTTCAGAAGGCTGCCAGCAAGAACGGATAGTATGTTGTAATAGGTCTACTTGGATGTGGTAAAGTTTGTCCTGCCAATGTATCCGGTTTTGGATTTTCATAGCAGTACTTGTAAATCGTAAGACGTATCTGCTGGTGTTCTGTTTAATGTTTATTGTCAATCATTGAAGTGTACACAGATGTATGCAAACTGTTGTAATCATGGTTAGAAGTATTGATGTTTTGTTCTGCATTTTCAAGCATCTATAAATGGTTAAATCAAACCTCCTAACTTTATCAAAGCTATTAAGGAAGCTTGACATTCAAAGATTGATGAACAGGTTAAGCATCAGTGGCTTGGCTTCCAGTCATTTTCTTTTCTTTTCGACATATAAGAATGAAAATGTTCTTTTGCCAGACATAATTGTATGTTATGTTGTTGGACTTGTCGACATAAAACTATTAGTTTATGTCACTGTTGTTTGAATGAAACTAACAATATAACATGACAAATATCTTACGAACGCATGAACCTTTCCTTTCTTTTAGCCGTCAAAGTCATTCTCTTGGTTGTATTGTCCTGGAGGAGGCTTTCCCCCCCCGTAATATTTCCAGTAGGGTTGCATGTATGAGCTTCGATGCTCAAACAGTTTGTTACAAGAACGAGTAAGATGAAGAGAAAATCACCTGCAGATATAAATCTAAGCCTTCATGATCTTCTTCAATCTTCCTTCTGATGCCTAATACTGCCTGAAACAGCTGTTTTTTCATGTCAAATTATGACATGTTTGTAATCTTCTCTTCAGATAGAGTATACTGCTTCAAACACGTGGTGTTTTGTAATACAATTAGTGAGGTAAATGAATTAAAATTTATCATAAACACTATCTGATGATCGGCAGGCAGTAATGAAAACATCGAAAAGCTTCTCTGTTTTTATTTTATCACCATCATACAAATCATGTATTTATGGTTTCTTCTGTATTTCTTGGTTGATTCAAATATCTGATGATGTACAGCTAAAAAAGATACTAAAATATATCAACTAAAGAAATAGCCAGAAAGAAAATCCTTTTGGATCTTGAGAGGGCTTCTAATTAAACTTAGGACTAAATATGGATGCAAAATAAGATTTACACGTGATGATAACGTCTTCTTGTAATTCAGACGTTGAATATTAATGTCATGTTGATTATTATATCATACTGTCAAATTAAAAACGATTGGTTATTTGGACTATTGTTTGAATTAATGCATAGTGTTAAATTGACAGTCTAACAAAATAAGACACCAGAAAGAGAAAGACAAACATACAATGTCAATTATATGACAAAAGAAGTTTACTCATTTCACTAATTCAAGTGAACTTTATTCCCCATAAACTTGGAAATAGGAAAGAAGAAAGAAGAGAGATGATGATAGTACAACATGTTGTACAGCTTCACACTCTTGACAGAGTCGCAGTATTAGGCATGAGCTAGCCCAACAAAAGCATTGAACCTTTCACACTAATTTTTATTGGAAAAATGGAGGAAACCACTCAATTACGCATCAGACCAGAATATATCCATAAAACCCCATTTTGGGTCACTTTCTGACACTCCCAAGGCCTTCCAAACAGCTTTAGAGGCGTCAACCAAATTGTTAGCACACGGAGGCTGGTAATCGTGCTCTGCATCACATCCTACTGTGGAGTCGCACTCGTCGACAACCATCGCTTTGACACTCCTTCCATTACCATGGATGGTAATATGGCCTAAACACCGGCTCCCTTTGTTGTACCAGCCCGTCGACAATGCCACAACAGGAGTCTTATCCGAGTGGAACTTATTGTCACATGCTGATGGACTGCCACCATCACCACCCTTTTGAAAGCTGTTGATGGTCAAGGTTGCTTTCGTTTTCTTAGACACCTGAGGTGAGCACGTGTAGGTGGGGTAAAGCTTGCCTTTTTTGCAGCACTCGGAGTCTTTCCCTTGGTTACATTGTCCTAGAGGAGGCTCTTTCCCCCTAAGCTTGCCACTAGGCTTGCATTTATGAGCTTCAATGCTCAACCAGTTCGTAGCAAGAATGATTAAGATGAAGAAAAAAGAACCTGAAAACATCTTGTTATTCATCTTCTCTTTCTTTCTCTTGCCTTGGTTTACGTTGGTTTGAAGAAGTCGGATCCTTTTGTTGGATATATATAGAGAACATGCATGAAGTGTGTGTTTGTTTGGTTTTTTTTTTTTATGTTTTTTGTTTTTTTTTCTTGGATACTTTGAAGTGCCTCAACCAGCGGGGATTTTTATGTTAAATTATGAATTTTTTACTCTTTGACTTTGTAAATATACTGTCTAAAACATTCAAAATGATTATCTGCACAGTATTTACTTTCTAAAGAATATCACCACATACAAGAATTAAGTTTCAGCTTTGTACTTATTGTTAGTTCGTTCGGTATCCAAGCTGTGTGAGAGGGCTTAGGTGATTCCAATACATAAGGATTATCAATGTGAAATACTAAAAGATCCATCCATTAAAAATAAAAAAAAATAAAAAAAACTAGGTAGAAGGATCCTTGTATTCCTTGTGCAAAATGTGCCAAAAATTATGTTGGATGCCAAAATATGCAGCTTATGAGGTCTCCTCGATGAACTATTTTCCCTGAATCCATTTTTTGCTCACAGTACTAAAACAAGGCTTGAGAGAAAAGGCGCATGTGAGCGTTCTATTATTTGATGATTTCAATATACAGAGTGATTGAGTGTTAGTGTGTGTGTTTTGTGCATTTAATCAATTTATGTACCAAGAGACCGTGCCATGAGTGAGATTGGTTCGGTCTAAATTCTTTTCTTTGCCTCGAGTGCAAAGGATTTCACAATTTTTGTTCATTTTTTTTTCTTCCAAAGAGAAGCGAAAGGCGAAATGAATTACAACTGGTTTTAAACATTCCATGGATAAAAAGTGTACAAATCATAAAACCAAAATAGTAAACGACAAGAAGGTGATGTGCGTTTATTGTGTGATGAAATGCAAGAGTTTAAGTAACAAGAAGGAAAATCCTATTCAAACTTGATGTTGGTTGAAGCGACTAATTATTAAGCAATTTTTTTTTTTCCGATTTCTACAAATTGTATTTGGAAAAGATGGATCAAGCAACTATTAGAAAAGAAGCTAAAATGATGGAGACGAATATTTCATCATGCCAAAAAATGGTGGATGTCAAGGTGAAAGAAAAAGAACAAGAAATTTTGCTTGTTGATAGTCTCATTGAAGAAGACCTCTCACAAGTGGAGGCTCAAGAAATTCAAGGTATGAGTGATTTGGAAACTATTATGACTTTGGAGAATCATCAATCTAATAAATTGGAGTTAAATTCCATTGTTGACCAAACAAGAAATTTGAGAAAGGAAAAATGTAATACCCCGTATAAAAAAATGACAATATATATATATATATATATATATATATGCGCGTGTGTGTATAAATAATTATTTTTATGCAATGATTTTATTGAGTTTCTTTATATACGCTATGAGTACAAAAAACTCATATTTTTGACATATAAGTTAGTAGAGATTCTTTCACTACAAAAATATATTTTTATGCAATGATTTTATTGAGTAGAAAAATCGTATGATTTTATGCAATGATTTCACTACAAGAATATATTTTTGTCTAGCAAGTACTTTTATACTTAAATTTTTCCAATTGGAGATGGTTATACTAATTAGCATCTCTTTATAAATTGTAATGCAATATGCATTAAGTTGGTAGCTTCACGTAGATTAGATTGTTTTGCTAGGCTTTTCATTGATTGGATCTTTTATTACATCACCATTTGGCTAGCCTATTTCTTTGTAGACTTACTATGTGTTTTGATCCAACAAGCTTACCTTGAGATAAACCTTTACGTGGCCTTTGATGCTTGCATCCATCATGCATTATATTCATTAGTTCATGATTAACTTAACACATGTCTCTTTGCCATTTGAATACATACCATTGTCAATGATTAACTTCACATTTGATGTGTTTCTATTGGAACACATATTAGGGCTAAGGATTATCTTAACATTTGTTGTTTTTCTATTGGACCACATTTCATTGCTAATGATTAGGACAACACTTGTTGCCATGTTATTGGAACACATTTTATGTCTAATGTGGCCGAATCGAGCTGTTCTGGCCGACACCTGGATCGAGCTATGTTGGTCGACTCCTAAAAGGTGATGAAGCCATAAAGTGTAGTGATGTGGAAAATGTGAATAAATTTAAACCTAAAAGTGCCTAATTATAAGAGTGTGCTGTGAGCGGGAATGAACCCATTTCACATGTGATTACAGAGCATAAGTAAAGTACAGTAAGGTAAGATAAGGATTATACCATCATAGGTAGCCACTTATATTGAGATATGCTAAGAATCCTCGTTGATACAGAAGCTCAGCTACTAAAACCTGGAGGGGCGAAAAACAGAAGGATGAGTGGGCAAAAACAAAGCTTTAGAAAACACATTTCTCTTTTCTGAAAGTAATAACCCCTTACTATAAAACTCGTATAGCTTTTAGAAAATAAGACTACGTATATACATACGAATACCAATGCACAAGGCCAATAAAAACTAAAGTATGCCATGCCATAACGTTTCCGCACTAAAAGATGTAAGCTAGGTGAAATCAATATAAAATAATATGCCAGTTGGAGTCACCTAATGTGACATGTACGACTGGATCTATATCTCATCAATATATGCTAGCACATGTGTTAGAACCACCTACTTATTGTGGTTTTTACAACAGGGCTGGGCATAAATATGTACGCTCAAGTGCTACGATCATGTGAAAGTTGTGCGAATAATCGTGGGTCACCTACAAGTCAGAACCACCTATTGTGGTCTGTACGACAGGTCTAGCACCAAACTTGGATCCAAGGTGAGCGTGAGGTGCAGGAGGTGAACATCATGTGAAGGACTGTGCCCTGGCCTCGGGCAGGAGCACTAACACCGGGGTGCAGCAATGATGAGCTCTAATTGCATCAATGTTTAACAATGTGCCATGCAACCAATACCATCACAATATACTCACCTGAAGCTTACCTGAGCCTCCGCAACATCAAACGATATAATTCACGATTTATAATAATGCAATACTTAAAATGTAACTCATTTGTGACACGGCAAGCAAAGCATAATTCCATATAAAAATGTTTATGGAAACTGTAAGTGTGTGTGCGTGTGTGTATAGAAAACAAATGCCCACTCACCTAAGGTCTGCACTACAACTCACTAACACGTATACAGAGGCGTCACAAACGACCGGCGCCTAGAACAATTATCAAATAATGTCTCAGAATTCTTATCAATAGAACACGTAACTTACATAAAACACATCCTCAAGGACATTCTAGAATGATTTGAGACCCATTGACCAAAAGCCAACTGTCGGTCAAAGATCAATGGTAAAGTCCACAACCCTATGTAACTCAATTGGGAAGATCCGTATCTCAGATTTTCGATCCGTAACTTCCCAAGATCCACATTATGTTTCTAGAACAACATTCTAAAGTTTTGGAATGATTCAACGGTCGGATCTCTGCCAATTGCTAAAATTAAGTGGCGGCTGACGTTTTATTTTACGAGCTTACAAATCCAATGGGAAGATCCGTACGTCGGATTCCCGATCTGTAAGTTCCTATTGTCCCCAAATATTACGTACTATAATGTATTAAAGTTTGGTGATGGTTTAACGGTTGGATCGTCAATTCATATAAAGATCAAGTGGCGATTGCTAACAAAACTATGTTTGAACAATGATATTTCATCAACCGGACCTTACATATAAAATTGAGGTATCAAATTTATCCTAGGAGGGTCAGAAGGGGTCTTGGCCCACGCACCGCGTACACGGCGGTCGGCCGTCTTGACTCGCCAGAAAAATCAAATATTTCTAAAAATTCTCGAAGAAATGAAGATCTCATTGAGTAGAGAAAATTTCATACCTATGACTAAGGCCAATTTGGCAGGGGAAAGTCTCAAATCGCCACGAACCCGCCGGAAACCCTTGAATTTGGGTGTTCTTAATTCGACTCCAAAACAACTCCAACGCCCCAACCAATGCATGGGCTTTGTTCCTACGGTTAAGGGAAGCCATTTTTGGTGGTGGTGGTTGACAAGATTACCTTCGGATTTGAGGGATCGCTGCCTCGAAGCCCCTTGCACCCACCAGTGCATTTCTCCACAATCCCGAAGCCAGTCTCCTTGAATTTGGTTTGTAAATGGTAGAGGAAGGGTCGAGATGATGATTCGGAGCGGTAGATAGGCTCAATTTGTCGAAAAAATGATGAATTTCGTTGGAGAAACTCACTGGTCACCATCGGGTCATGAGTCAAGGGGAAACCGATTCGGTTCCCCTCCTTCTCCTCTTCCCTCCTTTTTCCTTCTTTCCTATTTTCCCATTGGTTCTCCTCCTTTTCTCCCTTTCTTAATTGGTCTAGTTCCTCCCTCCTTTCTCTCCTTTATCTTCCATCTCCACTGCCCAACTTTTCTTCCTTTTTAATTTGGGCCACACACGTGGCTTTCTAGATTTTGCTCCAAAAATCTGGAGCATTCTAGAAAATAATACATTTACAATTTTTCCCTCGACTTCATTCGTTAATAATCGTTCGTTATAACTCCAAATGACATTCCGTTTGCGCCCACGTATTCGTAGCAACGAGTACTACGAAGATACGCCAAGAAAATGGATCTTACGTGACTCGACAAGGGGTCAAAAAAAGTCAATGCATTTGCCTTTAAGGGCATTTTCGAAATTTCACATTTTAAAATTATAAAAACTGTAGTTTTTGGAGACGGGTCGTTACAGTATATTCATCCATCTCATTTGCATATATTTCAGGCATTCGAAAGAGTTGTTACAATTTAATTATTATTTTGTTGGTACTTTTTGTTGTGAGTAATTTGTGCACTATAGTTATACCACTGCGTATTCAAAAAATTTATGTAGTAAACTCAAGCGATTACTATGTAAAAGTTGTTAACTAGTTTTATAGCATGTATTGTGTAATCAGCTCCAAATAATTTTATTTTAATTTTTCTACCATGTCTTGGTTGTAGAATTTATTTCTATAGCTAAGATATGGCTCACGCCCTAACTTGTGAATAGTCTTTATTCGCGGGTCGGGGCGTGACAAAAAATATTTTGGTTATTTTGGCATACTTTAATTTTGTATGGAATTAACTTCATGATTATTCCACCTAATTAAGTACACTGAAATTTCTACTTCTCGAGTTAAAGAATTTATTTGCTTAACAAGGAAGTTGTCTACTAGCTATCAAGATCATTTAAAGACAAACACGGGTCGAGTTCCTTTCAAGTGGAAGAGTATGATGTAGGACAAGATATTGGTCAATTCAAACAAAGCACGATGAAGAAAATAAAATGTTACAAATTTTGGAAAACAAAAATTAAAGCTGAAAAATATCGCATTCAATTGATATGGCTATAGAAAATGCAACAAGAAATCTACTAGTTATAACCGCCATACAAATCAAGTATTTATTGTTTCTTCTGTATTTCTTGGTTGATTCAATATCTGATTATTGACAATAGAAAAAACTACCTCAATTATTGTTCTGACGACACTTTCATACCTCATCTTTTAAAAATAACAATGTCATACCTCATCTTACGAATTTGTGCCAATGTCAGACCTCCGTCAGTTTTTCTGTTACTTTTTCTATTAAATGCTGACGTGGCCAGAGATGGAACTCACTCACTAATGCAACTGGATTAAAAAATAATAAAATATATTTTTAATAATTAAATATTCAAAAATTAAAAAAATTTAAAATTAAAAAACTAAAAAAATCTAAAAAATGGCCTAAGGGATCCGGCCTTCCCTTCCATGCACACCAACCCTTTTTCTTCTTCTCTTCGATAACCACCAAACCCTTCACCATCCCCCCAACCTTTCTCCACCACCCTTTCTCTCTCATTTCTTTCTCCTCTTTCTGGGATGCGGTCTCTCTTCTTCGTCCCTCTCCCCACTTGCACTCATCCTTCCCTCACCACCACCTCCCAATGCGATCCATCCCTCCCCTAGTCCCTCCATATCCAACCTTCCTTCACCACCCCACCATCGCCTCTCTTCGTCCATCTTCACCACCCCATTGAAGAAACCAAAAAAACCAAGCCCACACCTAAATCCCACACCAAAAAAAAAAAAAAAAAAAATACCAAACCCACACCCAGATCCCCTTCCCCTCCTACACACCCATCACCCTCCTACCTTCTCTCCACCTAGTCCCTCCTCCGACCTCTCTCTTCCTCTCAACCTCTCGATTTCCACCTCCTCTCGGTCGTCAAAACCCTCATCTCCTTCCCACCTCCACTTTCTTCGCCTTTAGACCTTTCTTCTCCTCCCTCTCTCCACTGCTCTCCTCCTCGGCGCCGGTGGTTGCAGAGAGCAGAGGGAGTTAGAGTGGGAGAGAGATGCGGGAGAAGATAAAGAGAAGAGAGAAAGAAGGGTTGGTGCGGGTGGAAGAAAGGAAGGCCCACATCCCTAGGCCTTTTTTATTAGTTTAGTTTTTTAATTTTTGAATATTTAATTATGAAAAATATATTTTATTTTTTTTAATCCAGTTGGACTAGTGAGTGGGTCTCATCTCTGGCCACATCAGCATTTAACATAAATAGTAACATAAAAACTGACGGAGGTCTGATATTGGCACAAATTCGTAAGATGAGATTTGACATTGTCATTTTTAACATATGAGGTATGAAAGTGTCATCAAACCAATAGTTGAGGTAGTTTTTTGTCATTTACCCAAAAAGATACTAAAAGTAAACGATATGGACTAAAGAAATAGCTAGAAAGAAAATCTTTTTGGATCTTGAGAGGGCTTCTAATTAAACTTGGGACTAAATATAGATGCAAAATAAGATTTAAACGTGGATGATGTCTGATTATAATTCAGACGTTGAATATTAATGTCATGTTGAGATTATATATTGTCATACTGTCAAATTAAAAACGATTGGTTATTTAGACTATTAATGCATATTGTTAAATTTGATAGTTTAACAAAATAATATCCAATTGACACCAAAAATAGAGACAAAAATACAATGTCAAATATATGACAAAAGAAGATTACTCATTTCACTATTTCAAGTGAACTTTATCCCCCCAAAAACTTGGAATACTACGAAAGAAGAAACAGGAGAGATGATGATAGTACAACATGTTGTACAGCTTCACACTTTTTAACACAGTAGCAGCATTAGGTATGAGCTAGGCCAACAAAAGCATTGAACCTTACATACTAATTTTTATTGGAAAACTGGAGGAAACCACTCAATTGCGCATCAGACCAGAATATATCCATAAAACCCCATTTTGGGTCACTTTCTGACACTCCCAAGGCTTTCCAAATAGCGTTAGAGGCGTCAACCACATTGTTAGGACAAGGAGGCTGGTAATCGTTCTCGGCATCACATCCTACTGTGGAGTCGCACTAGTCAACAACCATCACTTTGACACTCCTTCCATTACCAAGGACGATAATATGGCCTAAACACTGGCTCCTTTTGTTGTACCAGCCCGTCAACAATGCCACAATAGGAGTCTTATCCGAGTGGTACTTATTGTCACATTCTCATGGACCGCCACCATCACCACCCTTTTGAAAGCTGTTGATGGTCAAGGTTGCTTTCGTTTTCTTGGACACCTGAGGCGAGCACGTGTAGGTGGGGTAAAGCTTGCCTTTTTTGCAGCACTCGGAGTCATTGCCTTGGTTACATTGTCCTGGAGGAGGCTCTTTCCCCCTAAGTTGGCCACTAGGATTGCATTTCTGGGCTTCAGTGCTCAACCAGTTCGTAGCAAAAATGATCAAGATCAAGAAAAAAGAACCTGAAAACATCTTGTTATTCATCTTCTTTTTCTTTCTCTTGGTTTGAAAAAGTTAGATCCTTTTGTTAGATGTATATAGAGAACATGCATGAAGTCTTTGTTTGTTTGGTTCTTTTTTTTTTTTTGGATACTTTGACTTGCCTGAAACAGCGGGAATTTTTATGTTAAATTATGAAATTTTTTAGGGTGATTTTGTGAAAAATCAGTGAGAAGTTAAAATATTAATAATAGATCAACAATAGTTATGTTAATCATAAATAGGTCAATCATGTATTGTGATACTTAAATGCATTTAAAATAAATAAAAATTACAAAATCTGCAACTACAGTTGGCATCCACTTCAACTAACACTCTCTTTCTTATAGTTTTATATTTGGAATAAGTCAATATGGATTAGACAATGCAGTTTTTGTTTCCTGATTCTATTTTTTACATTTGGATTCAGACACTGAGTTGCAGCGTCCATTTATTGGTTTCGTGTTTTTCATCACTCACACGCCTCCTACATGTTCCTTTGTGCATTTGGATTCAGACATTGCGTTGCAGTGTTCGTTTCCTAGTTCTATTTTTTCCATCACTCACATGTCTCCTACACTTCACACCTCACGCGACTCCCAATTTTACATTTAGATTCAGACACTGTAATGCAATGTCCATTTCCTATCTTTGTTTTTTACATTTAGATTCAGACACTGTAATGCAGTGTCCGTTTCCTAGTTTTGTTTTTTTACAATTGGATTCAACACTGCAATGCAGTGTCCGTTTTTTGGTTCTGTTTTTTTTTTTTTTTGTTACAATTGGATTCAAACACTACAATGCAGTGTCCGTTACTTGGTTCTATTTTTTACATTTGGATTCGAACATTGCAATGCAGTGTCCGTTTTCTGGTTCCCTTTTTTTTTACTTGAGTAGACTCTTTCATGTAAACGTAGGGCGAGAGAGAGTGATAGAATATACATATTCTAACTATTTATTGGATTCAGATCCTCTCAAGATCAGTTCTATAGGAATAGAAATCCAACGACCATATCCTCTTCCCCTGCCTCTCTTCCCCCTCAACTCCTATTTCTCCCTCGCACCCCCACACCCCATCGTTGTTAACAAACCCCAAATTCAATTGCATGTCATCTGTGCTTTAAGTCTGATTTATTTTTTCACTATCCCTTACTATTTTAGTTTTTTATTTGTCATCTCTTTCTTCTTCTTCATCTTTGAGATTTCTCTCACTCTTATTCTTCCATATATGAAAAAGATCTCTACAACCAAAAGACATTGGTTTGGACGACCCCTCTCTTTGTTGTTTCATTAACATCGGTTGAGATTTTAAGGTCAAGGAACTTGCAACCGTGGGATGTGGTGGTGGTGGGGCTGATTTTGGAGATGGTAAGGTGAGGGACTTGCAATTGGTGGTTATGGGTTGGGTGAGTTGTGGCAGTGGTGGAGTTGATTTTGAGGTAGGGTTGAATTTAATTTGGAATTTGAGGAGTTGATGGTTCAAGGTTGAGAGCTTCGAAGTGAGGGAGAAAGAGAAGGATAAGAGATTTTGGCCGTTGGATTTGTATCAATGAATGAGATCCATCGGCCCAGAAGATCTCCACAAATTGATTAAGAGATGATCTAAATCTATATTTATAATAGTTTAAGCCCATATAACATTTATAGAGAGAGAAAGAGAGAGTGAATAATAAAATATTCAAATTCTAACTATTTATAATGACTTAATGTCTAATTAATACAAATATATCATTGATTAAGTTCAAAACAAAAATATGTCATTGATATATGGCTTAATAGTAAAAATTTTATTGACATTTGGCTAAATTACCTAATTCTTTATACTCTTTGACTTTGTAAAGTATACTTCTTAAACATTCAAAATGATTATCTGCTGACTGTATCTGCTTTTTAAAGAATATCACCACATACAAGAATTAAGTATCAGTTTTGTACTTATTGTTAATTCGTTCGGTATCCAATCTGTGTTAGAGGGGTTAGGTGATTCCAATACATAAGGATTATCAATGTGAAATACTAAAAGATCCATCAATTAAAAAAAAAAAAAATTAATACTAGGTAGAAAGATCCTTGGATTCCTTACACCGCTTAACCTTGGACAGACAGAAGTGCAAAATGTGCCAAAAATTATGTTGGATGCCAAAATATGCAGCTTATGAGGTCTACTCTATGAACTATTTTCCCTGAATCCGTTTTTGCTCACAGTGCTAAAAAAAGGGTTGAGATGTTTCCCGAAAAAAAAAAAAAAAAAAAAAAAGGACTTCAGAGAAAAGGCAAGCGTTTTATTATTTGATGCTTCCAACAGATAGAGTGATTGAGTGCTAGATTGTGTTTTGTGCATTTAATCAATTTATGGACCAAGAGATTGTGCCATGACTGGGATTGGTTCGGTCTAAATTATTTTCTTTGCCTCGAGTGTAAAGGACTTCACAATTTTGTTTAAATTTTTTTCCCTAAGAGACCATGATAAAAAGTGTATAAATCTTAAAACCAAAATAGTAAACAACAACAAGGTGATATGCGTTTATTGTGTGATCAATTGCAAGAGTTTAGGCGACAACAAGGAAAAATTCCCATTCAAACTTGGTATTGGTTGAAGCGACTAAGTGGTAAGAAATTTTTTCTGATTTCTACAAATTGTAATTGGAAAAGACAGATCAAGCAACTATTAGAAAACAAGCTAAAATGACGGAGACTAATATTTCATTATATGCCAAAAAACGGTGGATGTCCAAGGTGGAAGAAAAAGAACAAGAAATTTTGCTTGTTGACAGTCTCATTGAAGAAGACCTTTCATAAGTGGAGGCTCAAGAAATTTAAGGTATGAGTGATTCGGAAACTGTTATGATCTTGGAGAATCATCAATCTAATAAATTGGAGTTAAATTTTCATTGTTGACCAAACAAGAAAATTGAGAAAGGAAAAATATTTTGGTTATTTTTGGCATAGTTTAATTTGTATGGAAGTAACTTCATGATTATTCCACCTAAGTACACTGAAATTTTTGCTTCTTGAGTTAAAGAATTTATTTGCTTAACAAGGGAGTTGTCTACTAGTTATCAAGATCGTTTGCAGACAAACACAGGTCGAGTTCCTTTCAAGTGGAGGAGTATGATGTAGGACAAGATATTGGTCAATTCCAACAAAGCACGAAAAAGAAAATAAAATGTTTCAAATTTCAGAAAAGAAGAATTAAAGTTGGGAAATATCGCATTCAATCGATATGGCTATAAAAAAGCAACAAGAAATATACTATGGATGCAAATTTTCGTTGTTTTCTCCTTTGACGAAAATGCACTTGCAAAATAATAACACCTAAGATTAAGGCCAAAAGCCTCATGTGCCCACGATGAATTGGAGGGAGGGGCCTTTGACCGAAGAATCTCCGATGCCAAAGTTAGAATTTGAGAGAGAAAATGTTTAGGAATTTTTTTAGGAGAGAATGGCCTTGCATTTTAGTGGGAAAACATGGCTATTTATAGGGGAGTGACCAACCCTATTTGGAGAATAGGGGCCGGCCACATATGGTCAAATTATGGGTGTAATTGTATGATATTATGTGAAATAATATCTTGCAATTAACTTGGCAATTAATCCCAAATTGAATAGGAAAATTGGGAGTTACCTTTTGAGTGAGGATTTGATGAGGAGTAATGAGAGGGTTGAATAAATACCATTTTGATCACCTTTGACTCTTCTTTGATTGAGTCGTTATTGTCCATTGCATGCGCGTGGGAATCCCGGTGCGCCTTGAGGGTAATTTTGTCATTTTCACCCAAAAAAACATGTGTTGCCTCCATAATTTTCTTGATTATTTTTGGCTCCAAAAATGCCCTGACATTTGTTGGGCTGCTCGCAGGAAAGTGCAGCAGGTGTAAAGATCTCCAACTTTGATGCTGATTCCCACTTGGACTTGGAATTAGATTCTTCTATGAAAGGGAAATAAATCGCCTTTAAAGCCTATTTAAGCCTACATTAAGTAAGTGATTAAATCAACTTCGAAGAGCAATTATTTATCCCCACAAGAAACAAAGAAAGCTAGAGGATATTTGCTCCCCTTTCCCTAGCACTCTTGTTTGCTTGCCCGTGCAAAGAACCGTCTTTCGTTGATTTCTTTGTCTTCTTTGCACCAATGTAAAAACCTTAATTTTCTTTGTCTTCTTCTTGGGTGATGCTGCCACGAGGCAGTTGTCGGGGTGGTGCGGCACGTCGGCTGGCAGAGGCCAGAAGTCGGTTTGGCATAAGTCGAGGAGATGGTGTGGCAAGGGCCACAACTTGTGTTGCTTAGCTTGACTAAAGCCAAGGGCTGGCTCGGCATGGGCCAAGGAAGTGGCGTGGCATAGGCCATGGTTTGGGCTACCACGTCTAGGCTGCTTGCCAAGAATGAGGAAAATGCTTGAATTTGAATTCTTAGCTGCTGTAGATGGAGCAATCAAGGATGGAGCTGCTAAGGATGAAGTGTCAGATGAGTGAACTGTTGAGTGCAAAGTGGTTGCTGCCCCCTAACCATTTACTACTTAGCTGGTCTTCGAGTATTCGATTTTTTGAGTTGTGTGGCCTTCTCACACTAGAGAGCAATTAGTTTATCCTCTTGCACTGGAGAGCAGACCTAGATGGGTTTCGGGGAATTAGTTTACCCTCTCGCACTGGAGAGCAATTAGTTTATCTTCTTACACTAAAGAGCAAACCCAGATGGGTGTCAGGGAATTAGTTTACCCTTTTGCATTGGAAAACAATTAGTTTATCTTCTTGTACTAGAGAGCAGACCCATATGGGTGTCGGGGAATTAGTTTACCCTCTCACACTAGAGAGCATAGAAGTTATTATGTGCGCAGCTGAGGAAAATTGAACTGCTAAACAACTGAAATAATCCTCAACCTGTGAGGTCTTGTTCGGCAATTTGCTTGAGACTTCAAATTACTTATAGAACCAGTGTAAATGTGTACGTAGGAAGCGCGGTAAGCTACTACCAGACTTTCTTCAGCGCTATCATTAGATGTTTCGTCGTGTGCCCTTTTGAGGCTTGGTTGGTGATCAGCTGAGAATCTGAATAGATTGCAAGCTTCTTCACCGCTAAGTCATTCGCTAGCAGGGGTGCTAATAAAGCATTTTCTTCTGCTCCGTCTTTGGATGCTTTGAAGTTTGGAGTGTCATGGGCTTGGTAGGCGCGAGCCACATCTCAAGATCTGCATAGTTAAAAGCCATGGTGACAAATCAAAAGTTGTCGGGAACCATGAAGTAGGTAGGCACGGTTGTGAGCATAGAGTTGGGTCTAGCTGGGGCCAGGTTATGCGCAGCAGGAGGAATTAGACCACTAG